ATCAGATCCTCTTAATTTCTCCTTTGGAGTAGTAATGGTCTTGGGCCTTGGGAAAAAAAAAAAAATAGCAGGAATCTAATTAACAGCTCAAAGGGAGCAATCAATTTACAATTGTGTGAAGTGCAAATTCCTTTGTGCACAAAACAAATTACAGTATTTGCAAATTTGTAAATAATGCAGCACTTTCTGCTATCCAAATGCTTTGGGTGCCCCAGGGAGAAGGGAAAAGAAGTCTGAGAACGCAAAATGTTAGAAAATGACCTATTGTCTCAACAAATGGAATTTTAAAAATATCTTTAGCAATTGATTTTTTTCAATTGAATCCTTATTTAGGAACTATAATGAGGCCCAGTTCTTAGGTCAGTAGGAGAATATTTAGAGAAGTAAACAATTTCAAGTCCAAAAGTCACAGCATGTTATTAACAGGGTACCTTCTTTCAAAATTACTGAACAGGAAAAATGGCCCCCAACCCTCCCTACACATTGAGTTTCTGGCAAGAACTTCCATTTTATAAAGGCAATAGCAAGGCCCAGTCATAGTAATCATTATGTTCAATGTCAGACAAGGAATTGGTGATAGATAAGGACATGAATCCAGCCAATCTGCTCTGAAGCAATGGTTTTGTGAAATGCTCAATTCACAAATATTTACTGGGGCCCTTTTATAAGATGCTATCACTGTTATTCGAGATTCAAAAGATACCCTGAAGAATGAATGGTGTATTTAGGAAAGTAACACATTATTTTTTTCCAAGATTTTTAAATCTTGGAAATAAAATAAATCATTATTCTTTTCCAAGATTTTACCTGTTGAGCTAGGAATTGAGAATACAAAGTAGGGGTGCCTGGGTGGCTCAGTCGGTTAAGCGTCTGTCTTCGGCTCATGTCATGATCCCAGGGTCCTGGGATCAGCCCCGTCTGCTTCTCCCTCATTTTCTGCTGCTCCCCGCCCCAAATAAATAAATTAAGTCTTAAAAGAAGAAGAAGATGAAGATGAAAAGAAAAAGAGAATACAAAGTAAATGTAACTTCATCCCTGCCCTCAAGGTGTTCACAATCTAATGAGAAAACAGAATTTAAGCCAATCATTTCAATACTGAGATTGTGCTAAAGAAGAGATAAGAAGAGATAAGAAGAGGGTGACACTATAGACAACTTGGACAAGTGCTTGACTCCACCAGAAGATCTTTCTTTTTCTTTCTTTCTTTCTTTCTTTCTTTCTTTCTTTCTTTCTTTCTTTTTAATTTATTTATTTGACAGAGAGGGAGCTCACAAGCAGGCAGAAAGGCAGGCAGAGAGAGAGGGGGAAGCAGGCTTCCTGCCGAGCGGAGAGCCGGATGCGGATGCGGGGCTCAATCCCAGGACCTAAACCGAAGGCAGAGGCCCAACCCACTGAGCACCCAGGCGCCCCCACCAGAAGATCTTTCATCAGGAGATGAAAATCACCAGGTGGAAGGGCAAGGAAAGCATTGGAAGTGGAGGTGAGTGGACTATTTATGGGCCTGAAGCCGGCAAGTGACAGTTCAGATGTGTGCTTTCCAAATGATTCTCTTCCCTGTGTTCTCATTCACTGTGAGATGAGTGCAAATTGGTTAAACCTATCCACAAAATATTTTAGCAAATTGTACCAAGAGCCTTAAAACATATTCACATCCTTTCAGTTAGAAATTCCATATCTAGGAATCAGAGGGGCTGCCAGAAACTTATGTATGAGGAGGCTTATCATAGCATTATTTATAACCATGAAGAACTGGAAACAGCTTCTATGTTCAATAATGGGGTAATGGCTAAAGAACGTCCTATGTGTGTGGGGTGGATGTATCACCTTTTAAGAAATATTTCAAAACAAGCAAAAATTATTTCTAAAAACAATGTCAGTTAATAAAGTATCATCCTAATTTTGTAATAAGAAAGTTAAAAAGTAGTTCTCAATGTTGGTTGTAATTTTCACCCATATCTTACTTTTCTGAAGGTCTTTCTTATTTTATACATACCAGACAGCAAAAGGGAGGAAGTTTCTCCTTATCCTGTGTGAAATCAAAAGAACTGCTTTTTGTTTTCTTCCCTCTCAAGAGTGTGATCCAGGGATTCACAAGTCACTCTCTTAAGTCATATTCTCTTTATGCTATCCAGGCTGGTTAGAAAAGAAAGGGAGACCAGGTGAAAAGTGGAAGAGAAAGGAAGGATCCAGAAGTTGAACACTGACATGAGCACAGTGAAGGACGGTGGGAGAGTCGGGCTTGTGAGGACCAAAAGAAAGGGTGAAGGTTTGTGCTGAGAATGAGTTACTGGATTGAAGATTTTAGGGGTGAAACATAGACACATATAAAAGGGTTCAATATAAGAAATGTCACAATGCAGCACACCCTTAAATGTCAAATAAATGTCCCTCTGGATAATTAATGTTACAAAAATTTGGAGGAGTTTGGTGGAGAGAGCCATTTTTGGGTCACCTACATGGATCAATGAAGCTATTCCCCTAAAAACTCCCTTTAGCCATCTTTGTCAGAGCAAACAAAGCTGTAGATTACACTCTCCTGGCCATCCTTTCTGGAGAACTTAGTTATGGAGAGCTCAAAGAACATCATTGTGAAGGGATTTTAACTACTAAGAGGAAAAGTTATATGAAGGATATGATTGCAACCAATTTGAATCTAAAATACTATCTGAGAAAATTCAATCTCTGCACAAAAATTCACTTCACCCTTCAATATCTCCTATCCTTTAAAATGTATTCACATAAAATCTGCTTTACAAGAGAGAACCAGCCAGGAACATAGCCCAAGAAATTTACCACTAAATGGGGACACATATGTGTTTCAGTTCTTAGGAAAACTGTGCCTTGCTAACTTTCTCCCTGGATTTCTCCATTCTCTGCATTGAAGAGCAGGTGGTGATTTCTCTCCTTACCTAATCTTCTTGCTGTTACACTTTCTGATCGTTAAGCACCTTCCCCACACCATTGCTATTCTAGGTTATATATGTCTACAACAGCATCAAGGGATCTTTGGCTATCACTAGTTAAATGGATCAACACATTTACCCAACCACAAAACTCAGACCCTTCAGGGGTTTTCCAGTCGATTTTAATCTAATCAAACCTGGCACTGGCAGATTTCCACTTCCTTTGTTCCTTGTGTAGATTTTGGTGTATGTGTGTGTTGGTCTCTAAAAGGGACAGAGGAGGCAGCTGTTGAAAAATGAGATTGACAGTTTTAACCACACAATTTGGTCTAATAGCTTTGATATGCTAAACTTGCTAGCTCCTCCAAGTGTACCTTTCTGATTTTGCATTACAACACCACACTGAATCCCTAAGGAAACCAGGGTTTTTCGTTTGTTTGTTTGTTTGTTCGCGTGTGTGTGTGTGTGTGTGTGTGTGTGTGTTAATTAAAAAGAAAAGGAAGAAAAGAAAGAAATGCAAACCAGTGAAACAGTTCTTTTACATCATCTCCAGATTCATTCTGCGGACCGCAGGCCTTCACAAATCCCGGCCCACTAGAGATCTTTAAAAAAGGAGAAGCTGAGAATACAGATCATGTTCTGAAGAGCGAAAACAGGTGATGTCATAACGCACAGTCCTGTGTGGTCACAGCCAGGGGCGGGTGGGGAGCTCGGGCTCCAGTGAGCACGGAGCTCCACGCCAGTGGGTGAAGCAAGTTGTCTCCGGGGCCAGGAGGACACCGGTGGGGACCCGGCACCAATCAGGTTCTCGCTCGGCGCCTGCCTTTGTTCTCACTGGGGAGCAGGTTTCCGGGAGTCTCGCGTCGGGAACCCGCATTGGACCCGCACGCGCGTTGCTGGCCTCCTCGAGACACTTGGCTACCCCTTCGCCTGTCCACCCCCCCAAACTCTGCCAGCCAGAGCTTTCCCCAATTTCATGTGCCCTCTCTCCCTAGAGCGTGGACGCCAAAATCCTGACTCACCATTTTTAGCTTTGGAAGAGGCAAGTCCAGCCCAATAGTTTACAGACGATTTGTTCTCTGAACCTTTCTTCCCGAGCAAGGCTCTGTGTTCTCCATGTTTCTGATCAACTGTCTCAGAAAGGACCGCTGGGTGAGAGGATAAACCTGTCTTTTTGGCCCTTTCGTGCTGGACAAATAAAGGAACTTTCACTGCTGAAAGGACTGCGAGAAGGTACTTCAGATGGAGGAGAAAACCGCTAAACCGGAGGTTTTGTGTCCACCCCCCCACACACACACACAACTCAATTAGTGGCGTTAATAGATTTCAGACGTCTACCCCTACCCCCCTCCCCACCCAAGACTCAGGTAATTGGTCTTTTGCAAAACAAGGCTCAAGCAAGATACATGATGCAGAAAGTTCTCTGAGATCCCTGGATGGCAAGCATTACGTGACTGCAGTCCTCTTTACAGCTAAGCTATGATTCTGGCTAAGAGAAACCCTAATCACTGCCCTGATAGTGTGAACGTTTTAGCTACCGCCTCTCTCCCGTCCCCAGCCTTTCTCAAGAAGCCAGGAAATATTTAGCTCAGTCTGAGACCCTCTAGCGAGGCTCTAGCTCCCAGTTTTTTATCTCACTCTCCTTACCATTTTTGCAGGGACCTGGAGAAGGGGGCGTGGCTTGTCTTCGGGGAGGGGCTGGGCTTCCAGGGATGTTTTGCATACGACACACCCTCTTCCTCCTATTGGCGGAGGAGCACAAACTGTATTCCCTTCCACCCCACTACCTAACTAACCCGCCATCTCTCTCCAGTTCCGAGCCTCGGAGATAAACTTAACTTGCCCGGAGATTCAAGGCGTCCTCGGCCTCTGTGATTGGCCGGCGTGGCTCCCAACCGGGCTCTGGTTGCTCATTGGCTGCGGGCTAAAGGCCCAGGGGCGTGGCCGGGGCTGTCCGACTGGCGGGAGGGGGCGGTACCGGAGCGTGGAGGTGGTGAAGGTGGTGGGGAGACGGGGGCGGGGCCGCACTGAGGCGCTGCGGCGGCGGCGGAGGCGGCGGCAGCGGTGGCGGCTGCTCGTCCTAGCCTGGCGGGGGCGGGGGTCTGGAGGATGGGGGCGGGAGGAACAACGGGCCGGTGAGGAGCAGCCGCCGCCGTCTCCGCCGGCGCTTCGGCAGCCGCCGCGGTGGTCGCCTCGGGCAGCGCCGCTCGTTCTCGGGCAGTCGCCTCCCATCCCGACATTCCGCCCGGGGGAGGCTGAGGCTGAAGCGCAGCCGGCGGCAGGGGGACGGTCCGACTCCGCAGCGGCGCGGGCGGCCGCAGTGATACCCGGCCCCGGCCCCGCCGTCCGTCCTCTCCTTCGGCGCCCGCAGCCACGATGAACCGGGGCGGCAGCAGCCCGTCGGCCGCCGCCAACTACCTGCTCTGTACCAACTGCCGGAAAGTGCTGCGGAAGGTACGGGCTCGGCCTGGGGTCCAGCCCGAGAGGGGCGCTTCCTGCCGGCGGGGCTCGGGCTGCTCGGCCCCGGGGCGCACTGTTGGGGCGAGGCTCAAAGGGATCCCCCGGCACCTTCCCCACGCCGGGACCGACGAAGGGGGCGTGGGTTGAGGGTGGAGGTTTGCACTGCTGCGTTTTATCTCCGCCGGGACAGATGCTAGTCCCGAGGGGTTGGGGATTTATTCCCCGCCCCCCGATTTTCTTTTTGCTGCCAGTAGTCTGTTTTTCGGCTCACCTCCCTGCCTTGCCACCTCCGGCCTGCTCCTCGGGCTGAGAGAGGGAGCGATCCTCCTCCGGGTGCTGTGGGTGGAGGTCGGTGCGGAATCTGAAGCCTGGTCTGGTCTTGAGGAACCTGGCTCCCTCTTTGCTGTGTGGCTAACTCTTGGCGGGGGTGGTTTTTGTTTATTTGGTCGTTTCTGCCTTTCTTGTGCGCTCTCCCTTAACACGCCTTTTTGCATTCTCCCGACGGCAGTCTTGTGTCTATAGTTCAGTCTTAAAAGGAACTGGTAAAGCAGCTTGAACTTTATGCCCATGGGAAATGCTATTCGACCTTACAGTTCCTCTGGGGTTGGGGGAGGAGGAGACAGAGGTGGACGCGGGTTATCACTCCTCAGCAGTACCCCCCCCGCCCCCGCCCCGTGTAGGTCCAGAAAAATCAGACGTACAAGTCAGCTTATTGCTTCCCCGAGTGACTGATAGAAAGTTTACTCCAGAATTGTTTAGCTTACTTGGCTTAATCACTCCGTTAAGGGATGGGGGAGGGGAATGAGAAGATGTCGCTTTAGACCGAGAAAAGCTTTTAATCAGACTTGAACGGCCTCCACTGGGTAATATAATAATCACTTTCTTTTTCTCCAAACTGTATTTTTACATTTCATTAAGCGGAAACAGTAGTTGAGGTGCTTCTGTTTGTCCAGTACAAATGAATTAAAATTGCTGAGCTGTGCAAATGCATCGGGACTGAAAGGCTAAGACGAATACGGCACCGTTTTTAGTCAGTTTCTCCAAATACAGTGCAATTGGGACTGTTATTTATATATTAAAAATAGAAAGAAAGCATGTAAGTAAGCAAGCTGAAATATTTGCGCTCTTTGTCCAAAAACTGTTTTTCTTCCTCTGTGGGTCAGGCCAAGTGCCAATCAAAGTTGTTTTTCAAGCTTCTTTTCCCTGCAGTAGGGCTGCTGCTTTTTCCCCCCACTATTTTGAGAGCATGAAGAAAGCAAAAGGATTGCAGATTTGAAGTTAATCGAACGGTTAAATATGCCTTAAATTGTGTTTATTGGATATGTTTCTCTTGAAACAGATTTTTATTAAATGTGCATGTTGAGCATGTGCAGTTATTTTTTCCATAAACTCTGGGATCAAATTACAGTTGATACTTGCTCAGCTCATTGTAGGGCAGCTTGTGAGAAATGTAATGGATCAGAAGTGCAGATCAGCTTAGTTGAATGTTAACTCTTTCACTTCAGGGTCAGATGTCATATGAAACTAGCTTTTTAAAAAAATATATTATTATTATTTCCTGACTTCAAAAGTGGTAAGTTATATCTTTAACATGAAAAGATTGTTGGTTGAGACACATCTGATTAAACTCAGGCCTGGTTAAAATAACAGCTAGTTGTTTTGTTTTGTTTTAACTGAATAAGGAACAAAAGGACTATATTGACTTTGACTTTTTTTTTTAAATGGCTCTGGCAATTTGGTAGGCTAATAAAATGTTTGGAGGTGATATTACGCTTCAAAATCTCGTTTTTCTTTAAAGAGAACCATGGCTATGGATCCATCATCACTCTTTGCTGGCATTCTTTATATCTTTCTCTTAGCTTTTAAGAAACTTATTTCTGTTTGCCTAGAAAGAACATCCTCATTTCTAGTCATTCTTAAAAGAAAGAGGTATATGGAAAATGGATATTCACTATTTTCATATTTTGTAATTGCTATGTACCTCTGCCAATATTCCAGCTTTTAGTAACTCCAAGGTATTTAATATTGATTCATGCAGTAGCATGAAATAACTTTAGATGGAAATGGAATTGTTTGAGCCAGTTATGACATGACTTGGCAATATTTGTAGCTTTTAAAGAGTGCTATTCTTAAGTGCTTTAAAAGATACCAAGTGTTTAGCATTTTAAATTCTTCATCATTCTAAAAATAGCATGTAAGAGTTTATTTCTAATAAAGATGATTTTCTTTTTGATAGAAACTATATAACTTTAAAATTCATCTGTAACTCTGAAAGTGTGATTCTTTGAATTTATCTTGTTTTCCACTTAATAAAGTGTTCAGTAATAACCAAGTGAGTCATAGCATTTTGAATTTTAGTTCAGTTCATAATGAAGAATGAAACTCATGCACACCCAGTGTGAATTACTCTTTGCTGTTATAATCCTCATTAATGATGGGGAAAGAGTCACCTTTTATGTGGCATGAAGCTTTTTTCTTTAAGTAGCTTAATTTGTTGCAATGTGTTGAATTTGGAGGGAGGGGACTTCAAAAGGAACTGGATTCACCTTCAATGAAATAACTTGGTTTAAACAATGTCCAAAAATTGAGTTATATATTGTATGAGAGTCACATACATTATTAGAAGTGCTTTTACAATTTTGATTCAGTGTCTTCCAAAGTAGAAAGACTTCTTAAAATATTGAATATGCCTAATTTGGTAGCCTAGGTTAGTAAAAAGAACATATTTCCCATACAGGGAAACAAATGAAGGAACAACAAACTATCCTCACATCTATAACTCTTTCTAAGTTCTGTTATCAATGAAATAATTCAATAAAATTTTTAATAAAAAAGGAAATGCTTCCACTTACTTTGGAAAAGTTAATGAGTTCTGAAGTAAAATACATGTTTCTTGAAGAAATTCCGGTGACAACTGGATAAATTTCAAAGTGGAGTACCAAACTGCATTAAGGTAGGTAACTGTCAGTCCACTAATCTTCTGATGAATGAAAGGGGACATATTACAATGTTTTTGAGTATGGAGCTGCCAGTGCTAGTGAAGTGAATAAAATTGCACTTTAACATTTAAAAATTCTTAATGTGTTTAGGTAGTTTTAGAGATAGATTTTTGTTGGGTATTGCATTATTCCACTTTGTTTCTATAATCAATTATTTTGGCAACTTTTTGGTGGTTTTTAAGCGAGAGGACTCCAAAAATAAAATGGGAAATACTAAATTGAACCATATGAACCTCACTTTTATAATTAAAATTGTCAATTAATAGCAATTTTATAAGGTTCATTCAGTAGAATGTAGAGTGTAATTGCTTTGGCTGATTTTTGTAGCTGTACTCTTGGTTAATTAGGTTTCTTATATATACATATATTTTTTTATTGTCAAAATCAGTTTTTTACTAATTTATCTTTTTACTTATTTTATCTTAGTTTATCTTAACTAGGTAGAGATGAAGCAGTGAATATATGATAGCAAACCATTATACAATGGTTTTCAAGCTGCTTTTTAGAAAGCCCTAAAATGCCTTTTTAAATACAATTACACTTATTCTTAAGTTGTAACTTAAAAATACAGCTACACCAAAATATGTTTTACCAAATTTTAACAAATTGTTTTAAAAGTTATCTTTTGTTACAAGATTATTATGTGCAGGCTGTGAATTAAAGCTTGTTCTGCTATGCTTATACATGTATTTGAACCTTTTTGTTAATATGCTATTGATAAGAAAGATGGTTAAAAAAATATCCTTCCCACGTGTATCTACTCGTTATATTTCTACTGTTATAGTTTTATTTGTTAACAAACTTCCTGTTAACAGTAATTGTTGCTTCATAACTAAAACACATTAAAATCATTGTTTTGTATATTTATATATTGCATAGTTCAGATCCAATTGAAATTTCATTTGTAAAAGGGATTCTGTTACTTCTCCCACCTTCCCACCCCCTGGGAACTGCCAAAACATACCTTCTAATGTAGTGATGGGGGAAGCCACTAGATGTGCTCATGGTCTCTCATAGATCTTGTAGTTTGGTACGTCTCTGGCAGGTCTTTTAATTTGGGGCAAATTAGTTAATTTCCTTGAAGACAAATTTTTTTCTGTAAAATGTAGATAATTTCTGTTTGACTTAAAGGTTGCTGCATAGCTCGAGAGAGAGAATGTGTTAAAGTGCTTGGTAAACCATGAAGTGTAACTTATAAGAAACATATGAGCTTATTTATTTTTCCAGGTCACTGTAGTTCTTTGTGAGTTACAGCAATATATTTCAGTACATAGTGAGTAATTTGGTTAGTCTTCACTTTTCTGTCCTTTTTAACTATGATGTCTGTAAATGAGAGGTAAAGATACTATGCTTTGGTTAGAATGATCAACATACTGGTTTTTGATTTGCATATTTCTATTTATACTTATTCCTCCCCCTCTTATGTACTAATCCAGTGCATTGCTTTTATTTTTTTTAGTAATTAGATAAAATGAAATCGCCTTTTCAACACTTCGGCAGATGAGGAAAATTAGTATTTAGTTTGAAAGGACTAAAAAGTCAAAGATGACTATATTTAATAGAAGTTGGGGATATCTAGGGTAAAGCAAAGAATAGTTCTAATTTAGGGAAAGAGTTATGGGAGGAAAGGTGTCAGTCTCTTCTCCCCATCTCTACCCCATTTTTCCCTTTCGAAAGTATTCGGTAATAACTCAAGTTTTGTCTAGACTTTCATTCACTGTTTTTAGAGTGCTTTCACATTATCTCAGTTGCTTCTCACAGAAAATTTAAGTGCCATGCCTGTATCCTACAACTAGTAAAAGGGTCCATTTAATTCTTAGAACCACTTCTGTAATAAAACAATATTCTTATGGTCCCCTGAAGTATTGAAGCTGCCAGGGAATATCTTCAGTGACTGTGAACGGCTCTAGATCCTCCAAACACTCCACCTGGCCATTCTTTATGGCAATGAATGTCGTCAGTGGTTCTTCAGTGAGTAAAAATGCTCATTTTTGA